CAGTAAGTTTGCCGATGATACCAAATTGATCTGGTGTGTTGATCTTGTTGAGGGTAGGAAAGCTGTGCAGAGGGGTCAGGACAGGCTGGACTGATGGGCTGAGGCCAATTGTATGAGGTTCAATAAAGCCAAGTGCCAGGTCCTGCACTTTCGTCACAACAACCCCCTGCAACCCAATTTCCAGTTATGTTGTGTTTCTTAGCTTATGAGTGGAAAACCTCTATTTCTCCCTGTTTTTTTCTCTCCCCCTTCCCACCCCACTCTGCCTTTTGGAGTCACTGATTTCCTGGTGACCCCCAGAGGCGTGCAGGCACTTTCCCTGGCCAGGGCACGAGCATGCTGGCAGCAGATCAGCTGCTCAAGGAAGGAAGGAGGAGCAAGGACTGTGCAGTGAGAAACAAGGACCAGTAAAAGAAGAGGAACCACAACGATTCCTCACAATTTTCCTCACATGGAACTTTGCTTCACAGCCAGCAGCAAAATTTCCTCCACTCAGGCACAGCAGCAGCCCGGGGAAAGTGTCTGGATCCCCCGGGGACGTGCCTCCGCCTCACGGTGCTGCCGGACCGCCACCTCCCGGCAGGGCCAGTACACGCAGCTGCGGCATCCACAACTCAGGTGATGCCAGAAGTGCTCGGTATCAAACTTACCTTTCTGACTGTGACGATTTCAGGCGTGAAAATTACAGGTATTTTTCATTGTCTGATTTGAAGTCTCCTCTTTGCACAACGTTTGAAGCTGGTGGAGATTGCACCAGGGTTTTTAAGAAGTTTAGGTGGGTATTTATGGGAAAAGGTATACGGCCTCCTGTGCTCCAAAAAAGCTCTATGGTTTTGTAGATCTGAGCCCTAACCAAAGCTGTAATTACATTGTGTTTCCCTTCACTGAAAAACCCATTTAGCATGTCCTCACCTGCTCCTTCTCTGCGTTACTCACTTCAACCTCCCTTCCTCCATGCTGCAATTTGCTACCCCTGAACCCTGCTGTGACAGTTCCTTGATGGGCTACACTGACAAATGGCATTTCCAATACAAGTCAATCTAAAAATAAAGACAACCAAATCAAGACAGCTAAAAGACAAAAGCCCCTTCACATCAGTTCATGGTGCAGCCCTACATTTGGAAGGTGGAACAACGAGGCCAGATTTGCTACACAGGAAAACAACCAGAGCAGCACAGTGTAAGTCAGTCACTGACTGATCCCCTCTAAAAGTAAGTATCCCCTTGAAGAGTTTTGGCCTTTGTTGCTTATTATTTAGATTCACATTCAGTCCCATCCAGCCTTTGCTTTCCTAAGGACTTGAGCTTGCAGCAGAAGCTAAATGACATACTAAGATCTCTCTGTTGTTATTTCAGAATACCTAGAACAGTTGGCGGCACCTTTGAGGGAGGCTCCATGTGGTATACTGTGACTTAAACCCTGCATAGCTCATACCTGTAACACAGAAATCCTTGGACAGCTGATATGCCTCACCGACTCCCGACACCTGTAACCTTCCAGATCCAACACAGTATTGTTAGAAAGCAGTATCTTGGAAAGACTTAGGTTTAATAACACCATACCTATTTTGGGACATTTTCCTGCTAATCCTGAATAGCTCCAAAAGCAGCCCAGGCTTCAGTGGGCTTATCTGTTATGTCAGGTACCTTTCAGTGTAAATAGAGGAATCTCAGTCTTCCACAACAATCACAGTAATTCAGCAAATATACACGCTCTGCACAGCATCAGCATTTTTTAGGAAGCACTTAAATATTAAAGTATTCTTGTTAAAACAACACATTTTGTAAAAGTGTATTTAATTTCAGTTTTAAAAACCAATCCATTTATTTCACAATACTTTATATTCTCATTGTAAACTTTCATTACATAATAGTGAAGTCGAAAATAATCAAGTAACACCAGAAAGTGACATTAACTCAGAAGAGAGGGCATGAAATATTCCACCAGTTTTGTTGTATCAGATAACACTTTCAAAGAGATATATATAGAGATATCCGTCTCTCAGGGAAAGTGAGTACTGTCACTTGCTGGTTAGCAGAGATTTTTGCGATTTGTTTATAACTAATATCCCCATGAATGTACTAATTGCACATGTAGAGCTAACAATTTTTCTGCAACAGGATTAAAGCAACAAAACACCCACACATAACTATGGCTAATTTCTACACAAGCTGTTCTTGTAGAAAAATGTTTCTTAAAAACAAAACAAAAAATAAATCATCTTCAGTATAAGTCATGTTCAGTCACATTTGAAACATGTTCTATTGTACTCAGTGTCTTTTAGTAGCAGGTGCTTTCTGAAGAGTCTTGCACTGGACACTCAAGGTTAAACTACCAAGAAACACCAGGTATTTGTTGAAAAATAGACTATAAACTCAGTAAAAAGAAAAGAAAACAGTAACTCCTACATTTGTTAATAGTAATCTCTTTTATGAAAATTATTTCATACTTTCTCACTGTAATTGTCCATACAGTTTCTTTGCTAAAGAAAAAAAAAATCATTGCATCTCTGAGAACACTCTGTTCACACAATTAAACACGTATGTTCTAACTAGCTGTATGCAATAAATATATCTAACTCTAAATCTTATTCTTTATATTCTTCTAAAATCTCTAGACGCAATGTATGTAGACTCCTGAGATACATGTAAATGCCAGTAAAGTAGCTGCTTGTGAGAAATAAGTGATATAAATTTTGATATCTATAATATTTAAAATGAGATTGGACAAACAAAGCATAAGGGTAAAAGTAGAATCAGAGGTTGATTACATAATTTGTTAATACCATTGTTATACTTACACATTAATGGAGATGGATGGTGCATTACAAAAGAGTATCTTTTCCTGAGAAGCTCATGGGTGTTAATAACAGAACACATATTAACATTCAGGAGCAGACAAAGTAAACTTGATATCCATATGTCTGTTTTTTAAAATATTCGAGCTAGGGGTGAAATTTAGCTTTAGAGGTGGTAAGGTTCAAAACACAACACAAGCAGCTTTGGTATACTGAAAGAGATACATGGAAAAGATATCTCTGGAGAAGGCTGAAACACCACAGAGAAAGAAAGGTGCTGCTCTGTCACCTTTCACCTTTCACATTTTTGTCTTTTCAGAAATGCAGTGACTGAGTTTATGTTAAAACCCAGAATCATTGTCTTAGGGGTTGACATGTTTTGTTCCAAGAGGAGAGTAAGCCCCTGAGTTCCCAGGTTTTACCAGGAAAAATACAACTCCTTGAGTGGCAGCTAGGTTTCCACATAAGATGAGGAATGAGAGAAGTTGGTCACATTTAAAGGAGACGATGATGTTAGAAATACTAACATCTCCCAGCTCCCCTGTGCCCCCATTACTACTGAGAAGAATAGAATTTTGTCTCAGTCAAAGCAACTGACACACTTTCACAGTGAATTTCCTTCACAGTGAGAAATATTTATGCTATTCTTCCTTGGGGAGGCAGAAGGCTGGAACAACTCTTAATGCATATGAGGGCTAAGAATACTAATAACAAGAATCTAAATTCCAAACCACATTAAAATACAAGAGAGGAAGAGGGCTGAAAGACATTAAAAAGGTTTTAAATGACTGCAAAATGTAATTCCAATAAAACTGTACATAAAATGAAACATAGCAAAAGTATAGGCATCTGCTCTGATGTCCTGGCTGCTCACTTTGGGGCCTCTCCACTTTCAACACTCTATTTTGGGGCTGGATATTGTGAAGGAGGCAAGAAAAGCAACCCTACAGACAGAAGGCTTAGCTCTGAGCTTTGCAGGGTGAAAGTGGCAGTACAAAAATCCAAGTTGCTTGGTTTGGGAAACTGAACTGCTTCTCAGAGGGTTCTGGCTGGAGGCAAGGAAGCTGCTGTTCTTCATGCTGTTAATGGGAAATGTCATAATAGTAGTTACGCAATCTCATCTCTACTGCAACAAATCCTGGTCGGTCATCAACACTGTGGAAAGACAACAAGTATCACCGCATAGGAAGGAGAAAGCTGTAAAGGTGTGTGGGCCTGGTAATGCTTGGGACTTTATCTCAGTGATATCTCATTTAAAGTGTCTCACAATATCTTAAGGCTACAAAAATGATGCTACAAAATGCATGTCAAGTGGCAAATGTCAACTACAGAGCATCTAGTCAGTGGATTTACTATCATGACTGTTGCTTTGTGGTTGGTGAAGGTACTACAAGAAAGAAATGGTAAATCAGTTGCATTTCATTTTCTACTTCATTTACTTCAGTAATAATCTAGAGAAAAGAATATTTTCAGTGCCATATCTGCCTTGTAATGGGTACTACAGTCATACAGAGTGGCTTAGGACCACTGAAAGGAGCCTACACATACACTGTATAGCTGTACTGTCTTTCTGCAACTCTTAATTGATTTGGGTGAACAGAATTAAACTGACAACAAGCCCTTACAACAAAACATTACATATTGAGATAGTTATGCTTCGTGACTTGAGCATTCTTTTATAATTTTTTTCTTCTTTCCAATATTAAAGATATTTGAATACAAACATAAAAAGCTGCATGCTTTATGATAGGCTTATTAATCATAACAAAAAATGATCCCATGAACTCTAGAACTGTTATGGTGCTCTCACTAATAGGAAGTCAGTATTGGATCCAAAATTAGTAGATTCAGAAATGAGAGAAGAGAAAAATAGGTCAAACGATTAATTATTGAGAAATAGAATGAGTAACTTGGCAATATTACTTTGAAATTTCAGTAAAGAAAAAGTCTTGGAAATGAAAATTAAACAAAATACAATCCAAAATGAAACAAAAATATTTGCTTAATTTCAAACTTCCTTTTAAAAATACATCAGACTTACCTTTTTTGTTGAATGACTTCTTTTTTATGGTACCCTATTTTTTGTATATTACTGTTGCAGCAAAATAAGCTGTGCAAAATCAGCTTCTTGTAGGATGCTCAATAACTCAAATAGTTTTCAGTTGAAAGTGCAACTGACTCTTTAGTTTGGAAGTAGTTTGTAAGCTAAATACCAGCTGAAATTATGTATTTTGAAATACAATTTCACCACCCACTTTCTGGCTATTAACTAAGTAGACTAAAATATGAAAAAAAGCCAGGGAAAAAAAAAAAAAAGAGACAGCATCACATCACACTCACCTGTATGTCCAACACAATTTCATTAGGTCATAGACTTCTGTTGGACAGACTTCAGGACGTTCCATTCGTTCTCCTCTTTCAATCATCTGTGCAACTTCACCACCTTTCATTCCCTGGAACAGGGAGACCAGAACAGTCATCTGAGTTGCAAATCACTACAGCAAACATGCTAGCATGAAACAAACAGAGGCCTGGAGTTGATTTTAGGGCTATCCTTTGACTAATTTCTTGCAAAAGATGGAGCGATAAGGTTTGCTTTGGCCTGCAATAACTCTTTTTAGATAGGAAAAGGCATTGGTTCAAATTTGCTCTGAATTTTTACAGAAAAAAAGAAAAAGCGACTACTCACCTTATATGGTTTTTGCCCATAAGAGAAAGCTTCCCACATTAAAACCCCAAAGCTCCAGACATCACTTTTGCTAGAAAATTTATAGAAATTCATGCATTCTGGAGCGTACCACTTGACTGGCCACTTTCCATGACTTTGTGCCTAAAATAAGTCATAACAGATAGGGAAAAAGGCAAGCTAGAGGTAGTGGTAAGTAGTAAACAACATCAGAATTCATATATACCAAGTTAACTTAGATGTGCACACATTTGTAGTAAGTACTGTAACATTTCTGATACAGCTGTCTTCATTAAAAGTGTTACAAAACTGTTCCTAATCTTCCACTTTCAAAATAATGCACTGAAATAAAATCTATGGTAAAGCAGAGCTTAGCTAAATGACCTGGAGTCATGTTTCTAGTGGCATTTAATTTAAAGTTGCTCTTTAAAAGTAAGATTTTTCATCTAGGCTCTCCACAGAGGGTAAGAGATATACACCCAGCTACACTGAGTCTCATTATTACTTGATGTTCCATTTCAAAGCACAGTGACTGCCTTGTGGCAAACTGCTGTTTGATTAAATTATGCCATAACACCGTGTTACGACAATGCAAGCATCAAGCTATCCAAGCACAGTGCTAGATGTAGTGAAAGATCTGTACTTTGTGGAGTTGTAAAGGGAATAGGCCTTTCATACCGATTCTCAAACCCCTGACAAGCAGCTCTGGCTAGGCTAGTGCAGTGATTTAAGATGTTACTGCCTTTTCTGGCAGCAGTTACTATTCCCATAGGAAGGTCACCAGAAGGGAGTATGTGCTTGCTCTTCCTCTGCAACTTCATGGTCTGTTTTTCTAAACAGCTGATGAAATTGAAGAGGCAAAAGGAAGAAACAATTTGAACCACAAGAGAAATAGAATAGAATAGAAAAAAAGGAGCAGACATGATTAGAGCCTTTGTCTCCCATGGATATTTTCACCTTGTTAAATGTGGCAGTTATTTCAGTCCCTTTAGCTGTACAGAGATCCAATGAATTTAAAACTAAGCTAAATAAATTCTGCTTAGATCAAAAGATTATTTACCAATAGTATTTTTTCAAAAACTTCCCCAAATTCTGTTCTGTTAGTCAATAATACACTGTGCTAGCCTAAACTTTCCTCAGACATGGTGAGAACTATAAGTGCCCAAAAGTTCATATGTGCAACAAAGACACTTTCCCCCTTTTACATAAGGAGGTATTTCATTTCCGCCAGAAATTTCAACCTTCTAATGACAAGTTTACCAAAAGTAAATGAAAGAAGTAAGCAAATAAAAGAAAGGACTAGCTTTTTCCTCCCTACATGTATCTTCATATTGATCACACCTTCTGAAAATCAGTGACCTACTATCAGGCTATAAAAGAATGGATGGTACGTGTTATTTCTGATTTTCAAATTTTAAAAACAACTGCACTTCAACTGAAAATAACCTTATTAAGCTATGCTACTATATGGCTTTCATGTCTTGTGCAAACCTTACCTTATAGTAATTTTCATCAGCATTAAGAGCTTTAGAAAGTCCGAAGTCACTAATTTTGGCATAATGTTGGGTGACTAATAGCACGTTCCTTGCAGCCAGATCCCTGTGAACAAAGTTATTCTCCTCCAGGTATTTCATCCCCATGGAAACCTGATGTACCAGCTCTGTTATATTCTTCTCCGTGACATGTCTGAAAAACATAATTGAATTTTTAAGAGGTCAGGAGTTCATTTTCATGACTTTTCATGGAGTTCAAATATAAATCTTTGCTATGAACTTCCCCACAGCATACTAAGAACCTGATCCATTTATGTTTAGCTAAGCTTTAGTCAGACCAGGCAGCATAAGAATGTCCTCAGCAAGATGATATGTGATTGTATCAATAAAAGGCTGATAGAAGGACAAGTGAATATTCTTTCATTTATTCAAAATGCACTATTTTAGCAGAAATATTTGATATTTAGGAGACATGTACAAGATAATAATTTCCCAGTGAAGAGTAACTACTATCATTAATTATATTAACAATATGTCAATTTAAAATTTCCCTTAATGAAATAAAAAGGGACCCTCTATCTTTTTTCCCCTTTGGATAAATCCTATGAAATGGAATCAAGGCTTACATACCTATTTTTTTGCAAAAATTTGTTCAACGGACCAAGTTCAGCCATTTCCATTACTAACATCCAGGCCTCAGCTTCACATATACCTATCATTCGGACAATATATGGGTTATCCAGCTGTTGCATTACATTAGCTTCTCTCAGTAATTCATCCTTTATGGCTGGATCATTGCTCTCATTCTTAAGAATTTTTACAGCCACTGGCTTGGCACCCCTACAAAAAAGAATCCAGTTCTGGGATTAGTTGCTGAAAAATCTGTGTGCAAATGCACACAATCTTCATCTGATGTTTCTGTGCACATACTACAAACTGTGAGAAAAGACAAAACTGACATTCAGAGGGGAAAAAAACCCGACTGTAGCAGGAACATCTCTCCATGGAACTCTGAGAAGACAGCTAAGCAAAAGAGAGAGAACGGAAAGAATCTGAAAAAATTATAAATAGTCATAATTAGCCTGAAAACAAATGTACTGGACAAAATTTTCTTGCTCATCCCGGCACGAAAAGGTATAGAGGCCTTGCTAAGCACTGAGATGTTTTGGGCATGAAACTAGAACACGCAGCATTACAAGGCGCCAAGGCGGTGCTCTGAAATCCTGAGAAATTAAGCCTACTTCTGCAACCTTCAGCCATACAACTAAGTGAAAGAGTGACTGATGAGATCAACAGAGCTCAAGTGTTAAAAAAGATTAACAAAAAAAAAAAAAATAGAAAGATTAGAAAAGGAAAAATCCTTCCTGGCTCTGAAAACCTTGTCTAAAGAAATGCCTCCAACTTCAAGTGGTGAAAGTGCATACCTAATCAGCCCATGCCCTTTAGCAACATATTGATAACATTTTACTATGAAAATGCATGAGTAGTCAGGTGGTCCCACTTCTGCCAGTATAAACAGGGTCTGTTCCTACTGCAGTCACATGACAAAAGAGGTCACAACATATTCGGTCTTCTTGAAAATCAACATTTCAGCTTCATGAAACAGGTATTTATCATACTTCTTTTAGGTGAAAATCTCATTGCTACAGGTAAGCTGTCCATGGCACTTTACAATATTTCCCAAAGACAGTTTGTACAGATGGGAAATACTGAGTAGCATGACTGCTTATACAAACTATCCTACTCTACTATCCCTGTGACAGGAGAGAAAATCGTAAGGGGCAATTCCACACCCTACAGACAAAAATAATGGCTGGGAGCTGACTATGCTGCAGGCAAGGACATGTCTACAAACAGAGGAAAAGAAAATTACTGCATAGAAAATGAGTGTATGCGTGTATGAACTAAGAGAGAAACCAGTGAATGTTAGCCCAAATTACTTAGGCACAGTCTGTCACCCCAAATGACATACAAAGAATACTGCTGCTCTGAAAAACAAAGGCTAGAGCTTTTACATACTAGACTCCAGCAAAATAGAAGGCAACACTTACTTTTTCATCTTATAGAACCCTTTCTTTACAGTACCAAAGTTGCCAGAGCCAAGTTCTCCTTCCTCCAAGGTTAACAAATTCCTGTCAAGAGTGACATTTTTTGGTTTCATTTCATCTGGATCAGCATATGGACTTTCATAGACCTCAGTATCCATGGGTAAGGCCTCTCTCTGACCACCTGCAGCTGAATCAATGAAAAAATTAGATAATATGTGAGACATTTTGGCTGCCACAGTTACTATATTCACCCTTTCTATGTTCAAGATCAGCAGTGTGTTTGACTTAAGAGGGTATTACAAATAAACCACATGCAGTCCAGCTACAGGCACTTTAGAACACCTCAAAAGAGAGGAACTCCACCTGGTGACATGCTTTAACTATTGAGCATATGTGTAATGTGAAACCAGGAGGTTCCTTGACAGAAGGAGAGTTAAAGGCTGGCCCTTCTCCTTAGTACTTCCCATTAGTTACCTCAGACAATTCTTCACACAGAATGCTGCCTTATATGTAGTTCATTCTTAGGCACCCATCTTTAATTGCATTTTACTGAAAGCCTGAGCACCAGCTTGGCACTGTGGATGCAAAAGGGCACAATTCTTTTTATGAAGTGCAAGGATGGAGCTTTTAGAGTCAAGGAAGAAACAGTCTTTCACGTCAACATGGAAAAAGGGATTTCTGCTGAATGACTTTTATTACAAATAGTGACATCTGGCAGTTTCAGCTACCAGGCTTGAGTTATGATAGTGTCTATACTGATACACTACATAGTGTGAAATATATGCAACAAAAAAGAAAAATGGGTTGAGGAGAGTTCTCCGGCATAAAGAAGGAAATTGTGTTAATGACATAAATTAGTTTGCCCACCTTTTTCTGCTCCTGGAAGACCTCTCCTCCTTTGCAGCACATAAGGATTAAAAGGTGCTTCATCAGGTGGGTGGCCAATTGTTGTTTGAAGCTGTAGCACACAAATAGAGTTTTAAGTTTAGCAGTGAATGAACTCAAAAGCATTTTTTTCCCCAGGGATCATGCCATAACGATTGCAAGAGACACACAGGTGAGAATCAGAAAGTAAGAAGGGATCCAACAAAGTTTATTTCATTCTGGAGGTTATTGCTTGAGTAAATATGCAGGCCAAATGAAACATACACCGCTAAAGCATAAAAAGTTATTGCAAATATTTCAGAGTATTTGGTCTGAGAGAATTAACTGGAATGGGTCATGCACAAATCTTATTCTGCAGATATTAAATTTACATGGTCTTTTCAAATCTGCCTTGTAACACAAGTAGTCATAAGGATTTCTCTTTAATCTGTCCTTCCTCCCTCTCCAAGTTATCTCTGTCCATATCTAGGCCATAGAGAAACTCTGGATTAAGACTGAAAACACTTCCCTGTTTCTCTTGTGGATGTTATAGAGTGACTCCACTTGGAAGAAACTGGGGTAAAATATAATTATTTTAATAGGCTTGTGTAACATCATGGACAAACATTACGGACCAGGTAGGCCTCTCTGTCTTCTCTGAGGAGGGACAAAATGACCTAATTCTTACTGTACTTGAACATCTGGTTCAAATACAAGCCTTCTGCCTTTACTCTTTGTCAGAGGAATACTATGGAGTACACAAACCACCCCATCAGAAACATGATTTGTTCTGGAGCTCCTTGGCTGAAGGATGAGTTTGGCACAGAGTACAGATGAGAGAATTTATAATTTGCTCTCTTCTGTCTGTCAGCTGTCAGGAACAGGGAACTACAGAACTTATTTCTGCAGTTTAGTCTATTTTCTTTCTCAGTGTAGAAATTTTACTCTACTCATGCATGACCTTACCCTCCTAAGAGCGTGTTTTAAAATCAGAAATTCAAACATCAACATGAGTTTGCTCAGCTCAAATAGGAAATAAGGGTGTATTGTACTTGCAAAACACTGGATAGGGCTATTTTACAAATATTTGAGTATATAATTCTTCTTTTTAATAACTGAAGCTTTCAGTAGCATAAATTCCTGCCTGAAACAGTTGTGGTTTTCAAGTAAAGAGAAACAGATCTTTGGAAATGACCAAGAGTGAATCATTGGGTGCAAGAGAAGTTTTATCACTTGGAAGCTGCATTTTGCAGGGTGGTACAGTCCTTTAGATCATAATGAAATGATCTGCCCAGTTGGATGAAACAGAAAAGTTTCACTACACAGATTTTACAGCAAACCCTGAATTAGGAGGCCAACAATCAACAAGATTCTGGCCTACTGAAGTGAGCATGGTGGCATTAGGGATGGTAAGGGTCATATTTCTGACCTGAACCACTTAGTCTTGTGGAACAGTGTTGAAAAGCCATTTGTTTTTGGGGCAAGCCACAAGAGCCCTGAGACGGTTCTGAGATAGTTCAGGGACCAAACTGCTCTGCCAATCTCAACAGCAAATGAATGGAATAAAGCAAGATCTTCATCTCTAGTTTTGTTTTTTAGCCTGGTGCACCTTGTCAGGTCTGCAAGTTAAGAACTATAGTTCCAAGACCTGTGTCACTCCATTTCACACACAGGCCATTCACTAGCCTGAAAAAATCCACTAAGATTGGAACTCAATCCTAAACCTCTCAAGTGACAGGCTGGTTGTTTCACTGTGAACACTTAGGACAGTCTTTACCTAGACTATGGCACAATGTATTGGGAAATGCTTATGTTCGTCAAAAATGTTAACTATCTCTTGCAAAGCAAAAACAAATAAAATGGAATTATACTTACTGAGACCGCGGTAATTTTAGTTTGTGAATTTCATAGATCCTGTATTACTTCACAACACATCAAGAATACTTAGGGTTTCTTATCTTATTGCTAATAAATATGACCCATTGAGTATTAATACTAAGAAGCAATTACAGTCCCACTGGATATCTTCCTGGCTGTATTCTTGCTTCCTATGTTAACTATATTTATACTTTAAAAGGGAGGTAATTTTACATTCCAAAAGGTAATTGGAATAAATTAGCTGACTGGATACAAAGCAATATGGACTGACATTAATACCTGTTGCTAGACAGATAAAGGTACAAAGGGAAGAGGTACAAATTGCAACTTTGCATGGATTTTATGGAAGCCTCAGGTTAAAAGTTCTTGGCCAACAGTCCAAAATTCGAGTGAGGAAAAAAAGTTTAAAAATATGGTGACTACCTAAGAAAGGGATTGAGATGCTGAGTCTTCAGTGGCAGTTTCCAGGATACTGGAAGGAAAGTTCTCAAATACTTAGGAACGATAGAATCACAGTTTCAAATTATACCTTTTGTCACTTTACACTTTAAATAATCTTCTTGATAGAAATGTAAAGTGTTCAGAAAATGACATCTAGAAGAGAGCGCATCGCTCTGGGACTCCTTTGCTTTTTGAAAGCTTTGATAGGACTATCAATTGTCCTCTGCTCCAGTGGGGAGCAGCTCAACTGTGCACCAAAAAGTGATGAGAATATCTGAACCCAAGCCTTGAATATCCCACAGCACACCCCTCACTTAAAACACTGAAACCTTTCCTGTAGTCAAAATTAGGTAAAGCCACACAGGTGCAGCTTTTACTCCAAGCTATCCAATGAAGCATGGCAGCTCCATTTTCTTTCTTTCTTCCTTCCTTCCTTCCTTCCTTCCTTCCTTCCTTCCTTCCTTCCTTCTCTCCTTCTTTCTCTCTTTCTCTCTTTCTCTCTTTCTACAAACAGTCAAGTGTTGGACAGAGTTTGTGTAGTTGCTGTTACATAATGAGGAATACAAAGTCAGCCCACAGAAGGGTACAACTTCAGCAGATCTTCCTCATTTTCAGATGAGTAAAAAGACTGTGTACCACTTTTCCTCACTATAACCCAAGCTTACAAGAAATGAGATACAAGCATTTAGGAAAGGAAATGATAAGCTCAAGATTTCAAATGGACTTGAACTTACTGTTTGAAGAAGTGATACCTTTTTGATGGCAATATAACCCTGTAGCCTGAATCATAATGATGGAAATTACAAATTCCACTGCAACGCCTTGTCTAGGTCTGATCAGTAAGCTTCATCTGTTCTCTGATGAACAACAGGGCAGAAACACTTAAGAAGTATTCAGTGAGTACTGGATAACCTCACAAATTTTAAAGAACTTGGAGGGAGTAAGGTCTCATATGATTAGTATTAGTTGCAGACTAGAGAGGTTAACATCCCTGATCCTAGGTCTCAGTGTATGACTGGCATACTTTGGACTGGCCAAACAGAATTCACGTACACCAAATTCATACATCTCTAGAATCCATTCACCAGTGCAGAAGAGCTGATAAAAATATAGCTCTGGCCATTACGTAGCCTGCTCCCCAAATGGGACATACAGAGACATTTCTCCTCTTTACAATTGAAGAACAAATTAAAACAATCAGAAAGGATTGGATGCACTTGTTCAGGAGATGCTTTAAAAAAAGAAATAAAAAGAGTGCGTCACTCCTGTGATGGGAATAAAACTCTGCACTTGTGAATTGGAAAAGACACAGTGACACGAAATCTAACAAAGCAGGTTCTGTATCTCAGAGAGCTGTTCATGTTTACAATGAGTGATAGTGTCTTACATAACCCTAGTGTTATCTTAGTTAACTAAAACATATGTTTGTGTGGAATGATATTCCCCATTGCTGCAGTTTGATTAAACATCTTAACAATGTTTTTTTCATTAATCTCTCTGGTTGAACTGCAATTTGATGTTTCACAGGCACCTTTTCAGCCCATACTACTAACTTGGCAATATAGTGCAGCACTCAGAAAATCTCAAACATTTTTCTTTAGTTCTTCCAGTTATGTATTCCTGACATGTAGCACCCTGCCTTTCAGTAGGATTTTCTAGCAGAAAGGTTGGAATTTTTCTCTTGGAGTCAACTGAGGCTGACTAGAAATGGTGCAGCACGTATGTATCATGGCACGTACACCGGTCTGGGTAACAGTACAATAAAATTTCCTTTTTATTTAACTGTTTAAATCCAGATTCCTTTCTGCCCTATACTTTAAAACATCATGTCTAATTCTGCAGATCTTTTTCTGCTACCTACAAAGGTAGCTTTGTCTTAACACAGCCAGGGTATAGTGTAGGAGATTACTCCTTATATCTTTGCAAGAAGCTAAGAATGGGCAAAATGACCATGGATTTGCTCATGCAGTAAAAAGAAAGAAAAGAGACGACAAGTGGAGCCTTTTTTAAATGGCGCATACTGTGTGACACTGTGCAGTGCATACACTTATAACCTATGGGGCAGGATGTCATTTTATGCTCTCATACTAGAAAGTTGCTGTGAGACTGTCCTGTTTTCACATCATCATATTTTTTTTCTCCCACTAGGGTTTCATTTTCATTGGTTAAACTTCTCAGGTACCCATAGTTAAGCTAAACTAAATGTGCCATTCTTCCCCTTATTAGGGACTGGCTATACTAGTGTGTCACTTTTATAGGAACATAGCCACGTCCACAATGAGAAGGAAAGCAGGAGGCAGAGAGTTTGTATTGACTCAAAGGCATCTTCCTAGTAAAAAGAATACCACTTTCTACACATGGATAAGGCAAACCCTAAGCAGGTTTGATAGCATCTAGCTGATGCTATGAGATCAAGACTCACTGTTTGCTCCAAAATATGAATGAAATGTCTCTAACTACTCTATGGCTGATTTTTATACTAAAGATTAACATTTTATAGTGAAGAATATACTTACGAAGGCAATCACTACAGAAAGTGTGATTTTTTTCACATTAATAATTCAGATTTACAAAAAGACAAACATAGATATAGGACTATAGAGTCATCTTATTTTGCTAAACAAAACTGGATAGCAAAATACTGCATGACAAAGAATTTATTAGCCAATCCTCGAGCTTTGGCTAAAACATGTTAGTCGCCACTAGGTGGCACAAGTTCATTTCAAGTCTTAATCTGAATTGCCAAATTTATATTACCGAGTAAAACAGTTTGAAAAATTTTCATGTGAGTGCTAAAATTATATGCAAACAACCAGTTTTTGAAAATAATAAAACCCCCATAATTTCCCAAACTGAATAAATATAACAGCGTAAATTTTCTGTTTTACTGTCTGAAAGTTTTTAACATAAGGGAAGTGACTGCCTAACCAGATCTAAAGTCTGCATGTTGGGGTTAATGGACGGTAAATCTCGGAAATGTTCAGAGTAGTAGTTTTGTTTAGTTGTTAGCTTTGTTTTTTTAGTTTAAAATTTGGCAGTATGATGAAATTTGTGGGTTTGAGTATTCAGGGTTAAGTACACACAAATGGTGATCAAATCAGATTTCTGAACTTGTTTTCTTAAATGATTGGTCTTCTGTGCCAATATGCTTCAGTCTGCACTTGGTGTGTGTTCCTCAGAAGGAAGGAATGTATTTGACTGCAGAAATCAACCAGAGAGAACCACAAGTTTTACTCAGTGAACAGACAACAGAGATACCAAAGCCGCGTCTAGAGAATTCAGACCCCACACTCACTTTTCTGAAGAAAACCAAAATACTCCTCTTGTCTCATGTGTGATAGTATGGCAATTTTTTTTCATACAGCTTAAGAACATGTCCCGACACTGTCTATGCATTTGTACAAGATGATAGCACATTAAAAATGAGATGTGGGTCCTGTTAAGGGCATACAGATGACAGTAGCTGTATGTATTTCAGTATAAAAGTGAACTGAAGCCATAAAAAAAGAAAAATTGTTATTTACCAGGATCATCAAATACAGCATATGTCAAATATAGTTTTTCACTCTGGACAGCAGCATACCTCTACGGCTTTTTATGCCTGCTCATTTTTGTTGAAGAGCAACCGGAAATAAATAAATGTATTTAAAAAAAAGAGACTCATGGGTGGAACAGGGGCACATGTTATTCTCAGCATGCAAACAAAGCTCATAACTGCATGCTTCAGAACTACATCAATTACTGGTCAGCATAATTTTCTGGCCATGCAGCAGCATTTTCATTAGTACAGGGCTGGGTTCCCCTCGAGTCCCTGACATCTTATCACCTTTCCCATTCTGCTGGATCTTGTGACATCTTACCCTTGTTCAAACGCAATTATTGTCAATGCATAACAAGATTTGTGCACACAGGTTCTGTAAGAAAATATTTTGTGGTTGTTATTAACAAATTGTTCCCTAAAAATGCTCAGTAATAACACTGTTTAAGCAAGCCAATTTTCTGATTAAGAATGATAGTTCAGACTAGAAATATCATTTTGTTTTGCTACAAAGGGACTGTTTTTTGAAAATCACTTTATCACATTCTATTTGCAGACATGTTGAGATCTATGCTAATGTTTTGGGATGTCAGAAATTACTTAAAAATAGTCCCTCAATTTTTAGAACTTCTTTAAAACCATTGCTTTAGTTATAAAATCAAGGCCGCTATTATGCAGATAATCAGGAAAGAAGCAGAAAGCTTACAAAATCTTTACAATCTGATTGTTAGTAGCCAAACACACATTTAGTAACAGCAAGCCAAAAGAGGGGGGGAAAAGAACGAAATTAGTCAAGTGTAAGTCCTTTTAACTCAGTGAAAAACCTAAAAAGACTAGATGAGGCACCTTTTTGCTGCCAGCCTTTGGGAAGGTGTACGATTTGAGTCTTGAGATAATTCCACCTCCTGCCCAACTCTAGAAACCACAATGTCAAAGAGGAACAGTAAATGTGCCAGGAAAATAGCTAAAGGTATTTTATAAAAGATGCAGTATACAAGAACAAAACACTCCAAATCTTTCTCTTATGTGTGCCTGCAAGTACACATGTGATGCACCAAACAAATGCAGCATAGCAAATCTTAGTACTAAATTTTATTTCAACTATATTACTCTAAAACAGTCTTGAATAAGTAGATAGACCTTAAGGTAGTTTTAAAATTCAAGCACATTGCCCTTTCCCCAGATCTTTCACACAGTATGCTTCTCTTGTCTCTGTTATTTAACTTAAGCTACCCCCCAACACATTTAGCAATGTAAATCAGTTGACAGGTTCAGTGTCTTGAAGTATGACTAAAGTATCAAGCAAGATTTGAAGCACATCTTGGTCTTACAACACACAATGTGATTATTGAAGCAAAAAGCATACAAACTGGTATAAATTTCAAACAAAAATGAACAGGCTTTAGATTTTACATGTGCATTTATGGTCCGTATAAATATACTTTTAGAAGAAATGCAAATGTGTTTTAAAATAACACATTAATTTAGTTAAATGTGACTAACTAGACTACAGGAGAGATGGGGAGGCACTCTTTATCAGGGAGTGTAGTGATAGGACAAGGGGTAATGGGTATAAGCTGAAAGAGGGTAGATTTAGACTAGACATTAGGAAGAAATTTTTCACTGTGAGGGTGGTGAGACACTGGCACAGGTTGCCCAGGGAAGCTGTGGATGCCCCATCCCTGGAGGTGTTCAAGGCCAGGCTGGACGAGGCTTTGAGCAACCTGGGCTAGTGGAGGGTGTCCCTGCCCATGGCAGGGGGGTTGGAACTTGATGATTTTTAAGGTACTTTCCAACCCAAACCATTCTATGATTCTAGGCATCACTGAGAGATCATACCTGTCTAATTAAAACAGTGATGCAGTACTTACTGATGAAGCATTTTGGCTGATGCTGAGGTTGGAATAATAATCTGAGCCACATTCTCAGCCACTTTAAACAGCCTTTGAACTGACTTGCAGTTAAATATTCTACACTTTTAAATAACCCATTTGGACATTTTTTTCTTCTGAAAAAATAGCTTTTCTAAGGGATAGGATTGGTATTTTTCATAGCTTTCTTTAAAAAAAAATGTTTGATTTCACATTAGAAAAGTATCTTGTTTCAAAACACCAACGACAGCCATGCAGTCCCTATTCCTGCTAAAGAACAGAAACTTTTCTGATGCTTGACAGTATTCATAGCTGTGATACATAAAAATTCAGTTTGCAAACTGAAAAAGCTTACTGAATTAGCTATTTTATTTTACCTCACAAAATTCTCTTTCCATGTTGGGATTAAAGGAAACTTGAAGCACTTCTTGGCTATAGTTTTGCAACAGATGAATTCTCTGAGAGGTTAATTGCTCTTTTGCACATGGTGAGCGTGACTCATTATACTTTCCTGACAAAAGTAGCTCCCAGAATTTGATCAAGAAACCACCTGTACTGCCTTGATGGTAATACTGCTTAACCCAAATGTTTGCATTAGACATACAAATGCATGCTCAGAGGAATACTTAATCACCACAGCAATAGTCCTAGTCCAAAGTTAGTCTGTACTCATAAGGTTTAAGTCTATTATTACTATCTGATGAACTGTGGCTAAACAAATAAAATACTGAAAAATGTTAAGTGGAGAATTTGGGAAATGGCCAGAAGTTGGCAACTTCACTGTAATGTCAACATTTTATTTTAGGCTCATATCAAAAGCTCCTCTGCAGTTTTAAATACATATTGGGATGATGTGCCAGGAGCAAAAGCAACTTACAAAGTCAAAGGGGATCAAAATCACATTAAATTCAGTTATGGATCCTCTGGTGAAAGGCAATAAAAGTCCTAGACCAGACATGTGCTAGAGAGAAGTAAGAAGGTGTAAGCCTCCACATTCTGCATGGAGAAATTATCTCCAGGAGAGACTTTTAGCAGAAAGTCCTTCCTGTTGCAAAGCATATTAGTATCACTAAAAAGGAGATGCCCAGATTGCAGAAAAGGGGACAAGAACCAGTAACAGTTCGTTACTCTAAGTTTATTCTTGGAGCATTAGCAAATACTGCACAAATCCCTTCCCTGATGTGGTAAATTTTACACATCAACAGTTTGCAGTTAAATTAGTTGGACAGTCTGCCTTGCACATCAACCAGCAGATCTCTCTACACCCTCTTAGCTTCAAAGCAACTTCAGATTAAGGCATGCTATCCACTAAGGCTCTGAAATTTCACCAGTGTATTTCAGGTTTTAATATGTACCTAAAGGGGTCTACAGGAGAGATGGGGAGGGACTTTTTAAAAGGGCATGCAGAGACAGTACGAGGGGTAGTGGGTTTAAATTGGAAGAGGGCAGATTTAGACTAGGTATTAGGAAGAAATTCTTTACTGTGAGGGTGGTGAGGCACTGGAACAGGTTGCCCAGGGAAGTTGTGGGTGCCTTGTCCCTGGAAGTGTTCAAGGCCAGGCTGGATGAGGCTTTGAGCAACCTGGTCTAGTGGTAGGTGTCCCTGCCCATAGCAGGGGGGTTGGAACTAGATGATCTTTAAGATCCTTTCCAGCCCTAACCATTCTATGATTCTATGATTCTATGGATGTAAAATATGCAAGTGAGCAAGTATATTTAAGTCAGTTACATGCTAGAGAAGTACATGTCCAAGAATCAATCTCACCTACCTATGGTACCTAAAACGAAGGCATGTGTCTTGACTAATCACCTAGGCTCCTTCTAAGTGGAAAGACATAGGCACATACTGGTGGAAAGTCATTCCACCACTTCTAGTCTGAAGTGACACGTGGAAGGGTATGTGTCTCTTTCTTGCTTCAAAATTCCTCAAAAGTAAGCCTTTGTGATTTGCTGAATGACTGGCTCTTCATTTGAGTTCATTAGTGCTAGACAAGATTAATCATACCCTGTTAGCATGACTGAGTCTTTTACCTGTAAAGCATCACAAACAACTGGGGCGGAATTATTGACATGCACTGATGACAAGAAAAGAGGCTGGCCCATTTATTTCCATTGCACAGTCCTAAACATCAGCCAGCTTAGTCAGATGCACTTTTTTTTTTTTTTTTTGTTACTACTTCTTTGATAAGTTAAATATTTAAAGTAAAATTTATTGAATTTACTTTCATTTACACTTAAACTGTCACATTTTCTATGGATAATCTAAAACCTGCATAGTATTCCCACACTGAATGTGCTTGCTCATCACTATAACTGCGGGCATACTAGATGATATATGCATGGTCTCATGCTTAAATTTCATGGTCATCCTTGTAAATGGCATAAAAAAAAAAAGGCACTGATTTTCATTGTGTAATTTCCAATGATTTAAAAGGGCATCTGATTTTCAAAGAGTTGTGGTATGAGGGTGGTGGTATGAGAATGGTTTGTTCATGGACCTGCAGGGACTCAACAATACTGAAATAAATGTAATTGCCTATTTGAATAAAAATATTTTTTTTCTATAATGTGGGACTGCATCAAGATACTTTCCAAGATCATTAGGCTCCCCAGGGCTCACTGAAGCAATTAAATTAAACTCCCTGTTTCGGATACGATCAATTACAGCTGAATGAGATGACGTTATGGGTCACACCTCAGGTGGCTCCTCTAATCAGTGGACTCTAAGGACTTAGGAAATTATAATCACAGATGGGCTTGCTCACTCTTCTTGAAGTTGACGAAAAAACTTCCCCTAATTTCACTACACAAGGAATCAAGCCCTTGTGCAAATTTGGTGCACACACCAAATATGAAAAGAAATTGAACTTCCATTTCTGCTTCAGTCAGCAGATTCTCATAATGGACAATGTAAACAAAGCAGTATCTCTCCTCCTAGTATTGATACAGTCACTCTAGAAAATGACCATGAGTAAGGCATTTTGCATTCTGAAAAATACTGATTTTCACATACATTATAAGTATAAAAGTTCACAAAATTAAATGATGAATAGCTCATGCAAAACACTGATGAAAGCAATAACCATGCTAGAATGTGTTAAGCTTATTCTTTCAACTTATATCCCTAGAAAAGCAGAATTAAGTATTTATTATTTACAGTAATATCCAAGCAGTACTATTCCTACAGCAGGATGTGACTGTAAGCCTTCTCAAATGAATTCTGCTGCTATAGCACCACCTTCTCTTACCTTAGAAGGAGTTCCAGGAAGAGGAGGACGAGTGTTAAAAACAACGTTGTCTGTAAAAGAATCAAATGCAGAAGGATATTGAGCAAGGTGAGAAACGTGCTGTAGGAAAACAAAATTTTACATAGGGGACCAACTTTCTAGTTTTTAAATTACATTACACTGTTTCTCCTGTCTCATCTTCTTTGCTTTTTTCTCTAATGTACAGCAGACTCTGGTACTCGCTGCCACAGAGACAAAAGTACGTGCAGCGCCTAAATGATTCAAAGGAGTAGAAAAAGTATTGACGTACTGCTTTCACCATGTCACCAGTATCCAGTCAGAATGACAGAATAAGCTCTTAGAGACAGAACACCGCTTCTGGTATAGCACAAGTTAGACAAGGATCAGGCAGAAGCATAATTTTTCCCCTGGCAGTCTGTATTTAACAGGACATTAAAGAAGAAACAGGCCAAAGAGCCTACTGAACTTCAGGACACTCCCTGCCCTCCCTTCCCCCAACTTTTCAAGGAATGCCTCTCTGATCCACATTTTCAGCATCAGGTGCAGCCAATCCCTTGTTCTACACTGTTCTCCCCAACATGGGAAGCAACTTCTCATCTACCGGTAACTTGCCTGTGGGTGCACCTCCCACTGCCCCCAACCTGAATGTCTACAGCAGCGCTGCTGATTTCCAGGATGCTGCTGTGCTGGCCTCAGCTTGGAGTAAGGACTGTTGGAGGAGTGCTGAGACAACATACTTGTTAGTCTGTGTGGGCCAAGTCACACACATGGCCACTATGAGCAGCAAAGCACATTTTGGGTCTGACATTAATTTAGAGCCAGCAATAATTGGAGTTGGTACTCTCCCTTAAGCTACAAGATCTGCCTTCATCCTGCATGATTTGATATGGCAGACCTTAACTCATTTGAAAAGTTGGAAATCTAACATTTTAATTTTTTTTTTAAATTCATCTTTAATTTACCATAATCTGCACCATAATCTGTGGAAAAAATGCACACATCTTTAACATCATTAGCATGGCTATTTATACATATCAAAATAATAGGAATAACTCACCATTTTCTGAGCCCAGTTGTGGACAGGGAATGGTAAGAACCCTTAATAATCCATCTGGTTTGTATGAATAATGCTCAACTAACTACCAGAATAAGAGGGGGAGAAAAAAAAGAGAGAAAGAGAGAAAATATATGAAAAGGTAAGCGAGGTACAGTTAAATATACTGTCAATTTAAAATTGTGTGCTTATGTACAATAACTGGTATATATTATATTAAATGAACTAAGCACACAGCAGGTCTTCACTGCGCATTTTCTTACCTCATCTTTACTTCTCTTTAGCAGGGTTGCAAGTTTCTGAAGTGGATGAATCTGGCTGAATTTGGAACCTGATGCAGGAACCAGATTTGGAATACTCAACATTCCACACCTGGTTCTGCTAGTAGCCAGCTTTGTAACTCTGAGCAAATAATTTATTTTTATACCTCTGAGTTCCCGCCCTCTTTTTTTTTTTTTTTTTTTAATTTTCTTATTTTTTTCAGGATGGGGTTAACTACAGTGCAGGAATTGTCCTAATACACAACGTTTTCTTTGGACCTCAAAGTCGCAATGAGATGTAAGCAGTTAATAAATGTACAGCACAAATAGTTGTGGCCGTTTATGTTCCTGGATTTTCCTGTCCATGCCATTCCATTACATGTACATTACTGCTATTTTGGCTTTGGTGCATTTGGGTAGAAAGGAAGGGGTCTGTGAGTGAAAGAGTTGCAGACATATTTTAAAAAATTGTAAGATAGCATAGCTGCTTTTAAATTTCCAGTGACTCCAGGAATGAAATATGCAAGACATTTACAGGAAAGGCTAAGAATTAATATATGCAAGTAAAGACTCATATTTTAGATTTGTGACTCACTTGTTTTAATAGAATTTTAAGCAGGAGGACAGAAGAGATTTTTGCAGGGGTTTCAGTTCCCTTAGCATTTTAAATTTATGCAGTCATTTCTCCAGTATTCAGTTTTATTATTGACCAAGGCATAGTCAACTATGCATTCCTTAACTGCTTCATCTCTGCCAGTGTTCAGACATATTTTGATGGTAACTCTCAGCAAACTATGCTTTTTCAGCCTTGAAGTTAGAGAGTTCCAAAGCTAAAGAATGCAGTATGTGTAACCATCCCTTTGAGCTTCCTACAATTCTGTTTATTACTGTCATAAAGGACCTTATCAAAAGACTATGGCTAGCACAGCTATTATTGAATATGATAACGTGCAAATGCAAACAGTCTTCCATTCTAGAGAATGTTCAGCTAGCTGAATAATAATTACAGCAATTTTTAATTCAGCCAAGCTGCAGCATCACATTTAAAAATGATTAAACTCTCTGCACTTACATAGCTTTCTACATTAACATATATTTTCTTCATGTGCAGTTGGAAACATATAACAAATAACCTGCCAAAACACGTTGCTGTTTAGCTAAAGACTGTTGTTGCATGGCAAAGTAAAACAAACTGCTTTAGTCAGTTATATGGAAACATGATGACAGATATCCAAGTGACTCAAATTTAACAGACCTGCCAGAGGGTGTCAAATCTTTTTCCATCCGGTATGGAGAGCTTTCCTGTCTTATCTCTATCAATACGGTAATGCAGTACTTTTCCATCATTCAGCAGACACAGGGCATAGGAACCATTGCTGTCCCTTTCTCGGATACTGTAGGAATAAGGCAGATTTTCAGGGTTACGCTTCACTAGGAATTAGCATCTGGGTTGAATTTTTTTTTTTTTAAATCACCCTTTACTTTAAGGTTTTGAATTACAAACATAGCAAAGCAGCACTGTAATGTCTGAAGACATTTTGTTACGCCTTTCATTTATTTCTTAGTGTCATTTGTTTCTGGTAGGTTTCCTAAGGCTTTCCTAAACACTAAGGTTTCCTCCCCCTCCGCTCCACACCCCCCCTAAAAAAAAAAAAAAAAAAGGCAACAGATGACAACAGAAAATCCACTATGTGGAGCTCTTTGCTAGGCAGCTACAGATCGCTGTGCAATGCACAAAGTTCTCTCAGAGGGAGGAAGCATTTGAAGGCCTCTGCACTGCAAGCCTACATAGCCCATGGAAGTCTGAGGCCAGGATCCAGTATATACAAGCAGCTACACTTCAATCTCCTCCACAGCTGACTTAAAAACTACAGACAAGCGCCTCCACTGAAGCAAGATTTCTTTCTTATATCTTTTATTTTGGAATAAAGACATGGCAGAAAGGGCAGAAGATAAAACAATAAAAGAATATAATGTGAAAAATGAGTAAAGGCAAGATCTTTGTGCATTGAAACAGCTTGTTGTTTGGCTGGGAATTTAAAGTATGTCATACATTTCTGTAATCATCAATTATAATTTCTTTAAAGACCTTAATCCTTTGTTGCAGATTTCACATAAAATGCACATGAAATTTCACATGGTATTGAGGTGTATATATATGGTCTAAATTTCACCAGGGAAAGATCACGGAATGTAACACAAAAACATTGTCTAAAATTCATAGGTAGGCAAGATGATCTTTATTCCAGAAGATCTGCAAGCAACATCTGAGATGCCTGTAAAGTGTTGCAGAGTCGTGTATGTGTACTCAGGGCTAGCTTACACTGAAACCAGCATCTTCTGGTGACAGGATCCGGAGTAGATAGGAATTTGGTACTATCTCCACCATAGCTGGTAGAGCATTTCTGAGTTTAGAAAGAAGGCTTTTTCTTTTAGTTTGAGTTGCCCATGTTCACTTGCTGCTGACAGTGAGATAGCAATAGAGCTAGGTTAACATTTTCTGAAATAATTTTTTGTAAGAAAAACCTAGATTCAGCAACACTGAAACATTTCTTGTTCCAGTGTGCACAGAAATCTACTCACACTTCCTTGTATTTTTCAAAAACCCTGAAAAGAAATATAGCAAGATATGCTCACTAAGGTGTTGGAAAGTTTCACTGGTGCAATGCTAGTACTTGCTGTCACACCTCAGAAGACTGCAGAGGCAAGCATTAAATTCTGCTCCTTGGCTGACTCACTCAAGGCTGAACTAAAACTGTGTTTTGCCTGAACTACTTATGCAACTTATTTTTCAAGCAGAGTGATTCTTGTTGCCTAAGATGTGAACAGGACACTGGCTAAAGGAAAAGGGAAGTAGGGTCTTTTTTTTTTTTTTTTTTTTTTTTTCCTGAAACCAAAGTAACTTGACTAGTGTCTCTAGAGCAGCTTGAAACACATTGTGGTTTTTCATGACAGGTAGGTATTTTCTGAGCAGTCTGATTTCCTGTGCTGACTGACCAGTGGAAAGCAACAGGTTCTGCTAAAATGAAAAATTACTTTCACTTTGTTTTCCTCTGACTTGTTTTTAGCGAATAAGGCTTGGAAAAATATCCATCACAGCCCAAACTAAAAACTTTTACTGCCTCTGGTGACAAGGACTGTCACAGGTTGTGTTTCGCAGTTTCATTTTGTTTTTGTAGACTGTGATAATGGCTGTCTAGGTTAGGCTAAGCTTCCAGAACTGGAGCTGGGTACACAGTATCCAGTACCTTACAGTCACTGTAAAAAATGGAATAAAAGAAAAAGGCCGCTGAAACTGAAAGGTTATAAAGTGAAAACTCTTCAAATGGAAATCAAGGTTTTGACATCTTCTTGATGGTGCTGCCTGTACTACTCAGGGTCATCACATCAGTTCCAGGGGTTCCATTCATATGTGGAACTTTCCTTCTATGAAAAGTAACAATCAGAATGTTAAGAAAAAAACTGAAAATTCCAAATGCACTCTCTGCTCTAATGTGCTCTGAAATGACACACAATATTTACTGTTCTTCAGTACAAACTGATAACAAGAAAACCTTTTTTTTAAAAAGCTATTTAAAAAAATAAAACCCAACATTTTGTCAAGGAAGGAAGCCAGCAGTGAAATATCATCTGGTCTTCCATTTCATGCTGTTGCAGAGAATTACACATCTGCAGAAGAAAACCATAAAGATAATAAACACCTGTAAATAAACAATATTGTCCTTTCATCCACTGAGATCAATCAGAAAGATGAACAACTTCACTGAGAGTAAATTTGAATCCATAGATATATTAGAGAAGCACTGTGGTATCTAGATATTCTATGACATACATTTTAAAACAGCAATTTTAGAAGGAACTGAGAATTTAAAATTGTTATGTGACATAATGCAAAGAACATTTAGTTACTGATTTTAGTTTTCATGCAGTCTATGTTTGAGTATTTTTAATGTTTTTGTGAATGTAAGCCAAATAGCAACCCATAATTATTTGGAGTACCATTACAGACTGTGTAAGTAACTATCCGTTCTGTCCTTTGGTAAAGTCTCTCTTTTTGCTTGAAAGAAAAAAGAACAATATCCCAATTTTTTCTGCTTCCAAGTGAAACACCAAATGATCGTTTTCATTCTAAAGGAAAAAAATCCCTGAAGGTAAAAAAAAAAAAAATTGCTATTGCAACATGCCTCACTGACTGTGTAGAAAAAAAGAAGTCACAGCATTCTACAGTGGAGGATAATGAAGCAAAATGCTTGCTTTAGGAATGGTGTGAAATTATTCTCACTCCTGAATGCCAGGGTGTGTTAAAGTTTGTTCTCAGCCTTGCTTTACCTTCTCAGCAATAACAGCTTCCTTGATGCAGAGATATCAAAATATCCCACTGTTGATCAAGCCCCAGCCATTCCCTGCTTGTCTGCCCTTATGACTAGCTCTCTTCTAATGGTATTAACAACATGGCTATTCATTATCACTTCCAACCTCTGCAGCACACTGCACGCATTCCAAGTTTGAGGGCAATAAGGAATTAACTTGGTGCCAGTTGTAAAAGGATCATACAATGGAAAAAAATTGATTGACTGCAGTCTTCATTTATATAATTTCTTCTCCCCCATTTAGTAACACATTCAAAGCTGTTTCAGAAATGTCAGCACACTACAGCATTGAGGAGCAAGCTCAGCCACACACTATTGCTATCTGCAGTGGAACCTAAAACTTCATCTTCTGATAAAGGCTACTGTGGTGTGCTGCACAGTGATGAAACACCTTTACGAGAAGGTTTGCATCACTGTAGTCTATTTTGCTGGCATTGCCCTGGCAGCAAAATACACTGTACTCCACCAAAACCCTAATAAATAGCCTTGCTGTACAACTGTGCGTGCAACAAAGGACCTTCTCAGTACAGCTATCTCAGTCAGGGATCACATCTTTTCTTTACACCTCTGACCCAGGCTGATGCTGTGGTCTGCAGGTGGCACCTAACTGTGTCCCTAACTGAAGATCAGTAAACAGCACTCCCAAAGAACTGTGGGCATCATCCAGGCTGCTGTGGAGGGGACTACAGCACCTCCTCACTCTGTATTTTATCATTTATCCTGCAAAATCTTTATGGTCATCTAAGCCTAGCAACTGCTTGGCATTTTGAAGAGGAATTTCATAGTTAATTAATGTCCCTCAATAAAGGTTATGTTTACTAGGATTGTTTTCACCTTGTCTGATGTCAACATGTCCAGTTCCATTTATGGATACAAACATAATACTAATAGATTTATTTAAAGAATACTCTGCAAGGTCAGATAAATCACCTAGCTCAGTATGCACTCCACCAGCAGTAAATTCCTAGAAGAAGACAATAAGATTAATGTAAATACAGACTGGTACATCTACCAAAACCACAAATTTTTGGTCAGACAAGAGACAAGAAAACTCTTACGAACAACTGCATTTCAAAACTTGTTATTTTGAAATAGTGTTACTAGTGTTAACTATTGTGACATATAAGAGACAGTTTAGTCTCTAGATGTTATGAGAAGATGTTTGAGATAAGTAGTGCTGTAAGTCACTCTAATAGTCTAAACTAGTTTTGTCCTCATTAGTATATCTCATTGTATATTGAAGACATTCTTCTGATACTAAAATTATTTTTACTTTCTTTTTACATAGCTGTTCACATTTTATGTGAACTACATATGGCTATGAACCCATATAAAAGGTTTATAGAGACTAAACTGCTAATTATGCAATGCCTTAGCTCACAGTTTCCTTAATGTTGAGTTTTTAAGTTTAGCCTTATTTCTGAGTATTGTTTGTCTCATTTCAGCTTCAGAATTTCTGGTTCTTAACACAATGCAAGATTACATGTTCATATAACTAAAGTGGTCACTACCAACGACAAACCAAGATGTGGTAAGAGCGACCACACACAGAGTTGTTTCCTCTATGAAACTCCAGAGAAAATGAACGTTTCTTATACTGCTGGTCTGTCACTGTTAGCAAATTTTTGATTTATTTTTCATCTGGTCCACAAATGCATATACTCAGATAGATAATATTATTATAAATAATATGTTATAAATGTAAATATTATTTCAATATTAGTAACAGTAATAATAATATCAATAGTATTATCTATTAGCATCTAGACAATACTGATCATCATAATCTACAGTTATGTCCCCTACCAAGCAAAATCTAACAAAAAAACAGAAGTCTGGTGAGAACCAGCATCCTACATAGCGTGCAAAGTAGTGTTAATGAACCTAACAGGGGCCTGAGACATAAATAAATTTCCCTGTTTTCAGTTTCTTTTCAGGTCATATAAGAGATATCGTATTTTTCCTTCTATTCCACTGCTATAGTTTTTTCTCCAAATTTTGTGTTAGAGGGGCAATCTTTCATGACTATTCTTCTCGGAAAAGGTGGGCACTGCTTCCTGTTTCGTGTAAGTTCATGACATTTTTTCTGTATTTGGCTTTGAAAACAAACTCTACAGCACCCACATACATATTTCACTGACTTTTCAGTCATGTGAAAAGCTTTAAAAAGAGCTTTAAAATTCCCTAACAAAACACCCACAGTTAGATCAGAACTTTTCCAGCAGCTTGGATGAGTCGCAGAGTTAGGATTATGATGCTATTCATGACATTTTGAATGGCAATCAGGAAGCTTCTCAACTATTTCCATATTTATTACATAAAAAAAAAATTCTAGATTTGATAATCTTATAGACCTGCAAAGCAGCACTAAAGAAATCTAGGTGTTAGGTGTGTTTTCACAGCGACTGCTACACCGGATTTTGTTTCAAGGTAGGTAGATCAGACAGTAGATTTCTGGTGTAATGATGTTTTAGAGACCCTTGTAAAAGAATATACAGAAATATTCTAGCCTTCTAAAATTTCTTAATTTTTTCCATAATAAACAGGATTATTTTTGTCATATACCAGCACCTGCTTGTGGACTTGTTGAATAGCCTTGGGTACCTCATCTCATTGAAAATCTAGCTTCCCTCTACATTCCCAGGCTCCAATTCCTACCTCAACAAAGAAACTTCTCTCAGATATTGAATGTTTCTAAGTTTCACCTTTCAGTCAGCTACCAGGCTTGAATGTCTTGACCAATATGAGAAAAACAGTCCCTAATCAGCTACATTCACAAGCACAAATTCACAGTCTTCAGTCCACAGAGGTACAGAAGATTCTGACATGCGCTGCTGCTGGGTAAGAAAAAAGTATGCAATGCTCGTGCCTGACATGTAAAACAATGCACCTCTCTAGCACTCAGCGGTTTTGCTGCTACTGTTTTAGTGAGCTAGCAAATGAGTGGTTTATTTCTCAACACCTGCTGAGCAAGCCCACATTAGGCAAAACACTGCAGAAAACAGAAAACCTCTTTTTATCAGAGGGTAGACAGTTCTTTTGTTATTTGCTATGAGCCTCTAGGTCTACCAATCTGAGAGCCAGAAGAGCTGTGGAAGGAAAAGCAACCAATTTCTGATACAAATGAACAATACATCACTTCTCTTGCTGCTCTGGCTGGTGAATTATGGGACAGATGAGGATCTCACCCCATTTCTTCCCTGGGAGCATAAGGCAACTAAGTGGTTGAGCTCTAAACCTGACAGACAGGCGGACCATGCAAGAACAATTAATGCACAGGAATGCACCCTACAGATGCAGAAGTAAACAGCTCAACACACCATCAGTTATATTTTCATATTATTTAAGTCCCAGTGGTGCTTCTCATGGTTTAAACAGAGACTTAAAGCTAGCATTTTTCTCCTCTATGGATTTATCCACCTGATGTGAAAAAAGCCACCTGAGTTCCAGCAGAACTATATAACATATGCACCCACTGACATAAGCAGTCCCACAGGAGAAGATCTGACTGCTCCCTCCACAGCTCATCGAGCATGTTGCTGCAAACAGTACCAGAAATGCCTTCTAGGCCATCCCTAAGGGAAACAGGAAAATACCAGGGAAGTATTTCTATTTAAAGCTGTAGGAATGCTTATAGAAGAGTGAAAAGAGACCAGGGCCTATAATAGAGACCGAAAATGTCAGCTCTGCTAAAAAATTACACCTCCTCACTCCAAAGCCCATCTCTGTTGTTAAGAAAAGTTAGCTAAAGGATACATTCTTTGAAGAACAATTAGCTTCCTTTCTTTCCCCAGAGAAAAGCACTTTGACAAAGTAGAAACCAATGTGTGCAAGAGGTAAATTGGAAAAGCTGCAAACTTTGATACATGTTCAACAACATGACCCAGCTGATATAAGATTAATTTGGTAAGCTGTTAATACAGAAAGTAATAGTTATTTAGAAAAAAAAAGTTCATCAATAGAAAGGGTTGCTGCTTTGTTTCAGATTTCATATCCACCTGCCCTTATGTCTGAAACGTAGGAGAGAAACTAACAAAGTTACAGGGCAGTGAAAAGGAGAGGTGGCATGGTAATGCTGTGCTGGTAATCTACAACAGCAACTACGTTCATCAAATCGATGAAACTTCTCGTATGGTACAGGAAGACACATTCAGAAGGCACGAATCTGCGACAAGGGGAATCATTGACTCCACAAACTTTTGTAACAATTTTTTGTTACCAATGTAACAAACTCTGTAACAAATTTAGAACTATTTTTTTTTTTGTTACAAATGGCAACAAAGGCAACTGGGTTACTGACCTCTAGATGTGATCCCAAGAAACAGAGCACAAGGCTGAAAATGAGAAGACGCATGGCCACTTGGGTGAGAGTGACCATGAAACAGAAAAAATTCAAGGACTGAGGGAAAGAAAATGAGATGTCAGTACACTCAAAGTATCCGTAGGTAAGATCTGATAGGAATTAACTGTACGGGGAATAAAGATTTAGAGGAGTACTGGCTCCTGACAATTAAGACTGAAACACAGAAATATATGAAGGTTACATCTACATTAGCAATTAGTGAAGCGGCAAATCACTAAAGTGAAAGAGTTGGTACTGAGGAAGCATTTCCACCCCACACTCACTCCTGAGGTTTTACTTTGGACTAGCTTTAAAAAAGTCAAAGACAGTTGAGCGCTGAAGGAGACTACATAGGTAGGCAACGAAATTTGTCACAGGAATTACACAGCTCTAAGTGATCCTTGCTTGGGCATGACTTTTAGGCTTCATTTTCTACAATACTGATGGTGGGGGATAAAAAATGTCTCAGTAAAAACATTGGGTTTTTTTCAAATGAGGATTTTCCAAAAGAATAACTTTTTTGTTAGAAGATTTTGACTGGCTCTAATCCTCAAAAGATGATGGCTGTTAGTCACTATCCTAAATGACACATTTGCACTCAGAAAACAAAAGATCATGAGGGGGAATAAACAGACAGCAGCAGACACAAAATGGTGTTACCAAGGCAAAAGTAATTCCTTCTGATGCTTAAGTGCAAAACAAAGTACCACCACTGCCCCTGAGAAAATTGACAGTTATGGATCCCAACAGCTGTTAACATGGGCAGTTTGTTTGTATTTTTACCATTTTTGTAAGTCAGCGTATCAGGTGCAGGCAGCCAGGTTTGTCAGCGGAGCCGTAGGGGCTCTGTGAGGAGGCCAGGGGCTGCCCTGGGACAGTCATGACTAGTTCCAGTTGGCCCCAGTGGACACCCCTGATGGGCACCACCAAGCCCCTCAGCTGCTATGTGGCACCTCAACCTCCAAGAAAACATACTTAAGAAAGCATAGAAAATGCCTGGTAGGTGGCAGTGGAGGAAAAAACCAAACACAAACCAGAAGCAGCAGTGCAAACACCAAGGGCAAGTGTGGAGGAAGCTGCATGATGTGGCAGCGAGCACCCTGAAGCCCCTGGGACAGGCCACAGCAGAGCAGGTGTCCACACTGCAGCCCTCCAAGCTGATGGATGTTTCCTGAATACTTCCTGTGGAGAGCCCAGACTGCAGCAGGGAGGAGTATGAGGAGGAAGGAGCAGCAGAGAGAAGCGGTTAGGGACTGACCCCCATCCTTCATCCATCCACCCCTGTGCTGCTTGGTGGGGAGAGGAGTCGAGTGTGAAAGAGTGAAGCCGAGCCTGTGAAAACTGGGGGTGTGGGTGTGTGAGGGGAAAGTGTTTTTTTATTGTTTTGTCTTTGTTTCTTACTGTCCAACTCAACTTTAATTGACAATAAATTAAATTACTTTTCCCCAAGTGGAGTCTCTTTGCCATGAGAGTTAGTGGTATGTGACCTCCCTGTCTTCATATTGATCCATGAGCTTTTCCATCCTGTTTTTCCCCCTGTTCTGCTGAGGAGGGGGAGGGTGACAGTGGCTTGGTGGGCCAAGGTTAACCTACCACAGCCAGTTAGTACTGCTTATCAGTTATAAAACAAAGTTTGATGAATTTCTCTTGCTATTGAGCTTCTCTGATGCTCACTTTAGAATTAGACCTAGTGCTTGATCAAAAAACAATGACCCATGCATTTGCTATAGTTTCCCATCTTTAGTTAAGTGGAAGCCAAATCTTGGAGAATCTTGCTTAATATAGAAATGATTATGTCATGTATATCATGCTAGACTGGGCTCTCTCACTGTGAATGAGCCACCTTTTAGGGCACGCTCTCATTTGAGGTTCATTCATGGTAACTGTGTAGTAGCACTGGTGGCAAACAGCAGCTTCACAGAAAATAGCACTCACAGAAATTTTCCATTGTTTCTTGACCCCATGAGGATACGGTGTTCTGACTCTTCCCGAGAGATCCTCCCGTGGAACCACGGCATCTTCTCATGGGCGGTAGTGGCAATCAACTTCTCCAGCTGAGGCTTTTGACTAATGATAGCTTGTTCAAGAGCATGCCCCTAAAGAGTGGTAAAAACATATCGGGACAGTCAAACTGTCTTCTACAATGAAAACATGACAGGTAGACTCTCAGTATTGAATTGCTTTCAGGACATAGAAAATCTACACATATTTGTTTTATGTGAAGAAAAGATCTGGTTGCTATAAAGATACCAAAAGAGAAACTAACATATGGTCATTTACATTGGGATTGTTACTTTACCTCTGAGAAACAGAAGGAAAAATAACCAGTAGATTAAGCCCTTAATATATCAATATTTCAATTGAAAATTATGTGATACTTTTGTACTAATGATACATAGCTAAATGTACTTAGTGTCACTCTGAGATGTCATAACATACCTCTACATTACATATCCTATGGCAGTTTACTGAATAGACTGAACACACTTCGCATTTTTGCAGCATGTCTATGTTGCAGACATCAATGCAAATTTCCCAAAAGCAGACAGGACAGTCACAATTTTAGAGTGAACTATGTTAATATTTTAGGTATAACCTAGACAATTCCAAACCCATCTACAACCTATCACTTCTATATTTGTCCCAGAATCTGAGCACAAAACTCCCTATTTTCATCAGTTTTCAACTTGAGTTCACCAACTTACTTCTAGATTGGGCTCAGACGCATCAGAAAAAACTGTAAGCCTCAGCGCTTGTAGTAGATATAGCATAAGTTTCAGACTTTGCCATTTTGGGCATTGCTTCACATATTTTACAGAGCAGAATACACAGGGTTCTGGTAGTACTGGTCTTTTGGTACTTGTTAGTACCAAAAGAGACGAAAAACCTAGCGTAACTCCATGAAGTCATAATGGTAACTCATGACATCCCAAGGTGAAATAATATCCCTGTTGCAGACTCCTACACTAGTGTTTCCATGTAAAGACTGGCTTCTTCACCATCATTCCAAGGGAAAAATCCAGCCAGACTTCCTCAGCACGGAACAAAAAATGACACATGCAGTACCAAAGACATACAGGCAGTGCTCTGCAATTAAGAAACCAAACTCTGCTTTGGACATAATCTAAATAAACATCCCAGAATCAAGGTCAGCTAAGAGGGGAGGGTGTAAAACAAGTCACCATGTCACCACGCCTGACTGCACATCAGTCTGTAAAAATTCTGAATAAAAAGCAATCAAAAAACCCCATTTCTGTACCTTGTTCATTACATCTATTAATTTTTAGTGCATGTGGAAATATGAAGACACAGTGTAGTGCAGTGGTAGATAAGGCTATGCTAGCCAAAGACGTCATAAAAGTCCTAAGTTTTGCAAAATTTCAGGAAAACTATACTTAATGGGCAAGTTACTGCATGTACTGGGAGAAAAAAAAACCCCACTGTTCAAAACTCAAACAGCTATGACTCTACTATGAAAAAAATACTACACAGCAGCAGCAATAGCTGGAAACAAACAATGCAATCTCTTTTTCTCCTAACTCAAAGAACACTTCATGGCAAAAACAGCCTGCATTTACCTGCAAATTCCAAGTTTGTTTGACATACTCTCTGATGAGGTTCTCTTTTAAATCTTCAAAGGGTCCTGTTTTGGGCTCAACGCCTGGTGGGCGGTTGAAAGGTTTCCTCAGCAGACAGATAAGGCCATCAGCTTCCTCTGAGTGATAGTTAATGAGTTCCGCAGGACTAGCATGCGACTTGCCTCCTGCAATAGCATAGGAGCCACTCAGCTCCCTTTCAATCGTATAATGATGAACCTTCCTTCCATGGGCCAAAGATAAGGCAAAGCCTCCCAGGTAATTCCGGCTTTGGCGGAGCAAGTATAGTCCATCACTCAATCCTCCTTGCATGAGATACTCCTCAGCTTCTTCACGTGTAATATTGCCAAAGAAGTATGGCAAATGGTTAGCAGGGTTCGCCGTGTTGGAAGCCATGTTTCTTCTTTTCCAAGTAGCAAACTTAGTATTCTATATCTGAAAAACAAAGACAGAGACATGAGTATCAGTTGAAAAAAAAGAGGATGTCCCAGCAACACCGCAGTTCACGTGTGGTATGTCAGTAACACATTTTTTAAAAGATTTTGTGATAAAGATCACATTTTTGTTTTTATCTTGTTAGAAGTTGTCTTTCTAAATACCAATAGAAAGTTTTTCCTTGTTATATTGTAATATAAAAGTTTCCTATAACTCCACAAGTTTCCTGTAACTGTTTCCCTGTCTGCTTCTTTGCCTAGCCACACAGAGGTCCTGACACTTCCACTCTTGCCTGAATGCTTCTATCCACCCTTTTGTAGTGGCCTTGAGGTGTTTACCAATAAAAGGAAATAACTAGGGAATTAAGATTCACTGAGAACAGTTTTTCATTCCAGTTTTGTGCTGTTGTAATTTTGCTTATAAGAGTAGCTTACACTAGCATATGGGCTGTACGGACAAAAGTCCTATACTAAAATAGTTAACACTCCTCTCCACAAAGATTTACCAATTTTTTTTTAAGGAGTGGGAAAAAAGGAGATAGTGTATTTTTGAACAGTTTTCATTTCAAACAGCTGATATTGAAATAATATGAAGGCACACTACCAACAAAAACAAAGAAGAGAATCAAATTCATAATCTCTGAAGAATAATAGTGAATATAACATAAATGGCTTCAATTAATTCATTCTTAATTTAACAATAAAATAATCTCATATATATTTAATATATATATATAAGAGGTTATATTACTATATATTGATATATTACATATTTTTTATAAATATGCACAGGGTCTCTTTAGAACTCTAGCGACAGGAATACTGTTTGCCTTGTATCCTTTCTTCCCTGAGTTATCTCAGCCTCTAACCTCCATTGTCAGCAGAGAAATTTATTTTCATTAAACCCCATGGCAGATTTAAGCTGCCTGGACAGCTAAGTATTGTGCTGGAATTACTTTCACCTTTTCAAGTTATTGAAGAGGAGGCATCACAATGCAAATGTTGAATTTGGTTTATTATTCCTATTAGTGACATTTAAATGACTGTCTAATGGGTACTGAGAGGAATACCCCAGCTACTTGCTGATAACATTTAAGTAGATAGGAAGTTAACATATTGACAGCAATGAGACCTGTGCTCTTGAAAGAGTATTTCCAAGCTCTTTTTTGCCAGATGAAGTGGTCCACAACTGCAGTTACTTATGTAAAAGCAAGTTCACCATTTGAATCATTAATTGTTTCCTGCAACACTAGGAGACACTTTCGCCCTCAAACGCTTCCCCAGTCCAATCACTGTTTAATCAGGACTGTCCACTGACTGTTACATCTACAGTTTAAGGGGCATAAGAAGGAAGGAACTCCATTTAGGAATAGTTCAACATCCTCTTTCAGTCTAGAAAGAAAAGAAAAATCCCACTAAGTATTATTGCCTGTGAATCTCTAAAATGACTTCATCATCTGAAAAATTACTTGCAGAGAATACATGAAATGCGGAATAAAACTAGCAGCACGTGCTTATGTTTATATTACTTGTGTGTATTGGATTAAACTTTTCCTTAGGAAATATCTCACAACTTCAATGCCAAAATTTTTATTTCTTTTTAAGTTCAGTTGTGCCAACGTGACACTGAAATACTCTGAAGTATAAAAAATAGGTGACAGCCGCTGTTATCTGTAGTTTATTATGTAGATTTTAGGCTAAGTAGGCAACACTACAAGTATATAAAAGGATAAATACTGTTGTTTCTTTGTATTTACAAGATCACTACACATTTTGTATTCTCATTTTCCAACGTACATACACCAAGTAAAATGTATACATACCGAGTATGAACCCCATGAACATTAACCTAGAAATTACTGCTATCTGTGTTTTATTCAGCTTATTGCAGCTGTCTTTTACCACCTTCCATTACCTTGGCTAGAAGTGGACAAAAGGATCAGAAGTGCAGTTCCTGTTTTATTGCTGTGCAGGATATAGCAGTAAAAACAATGTACCCTTCACAATTAAATGAAGGGCACAATTCTAGGGAAGCCGTGCAGCAGCCTGTGGAATCTGCATTAAATAATTCAGGATGTACGTGAACGGGGTTAACAGACCTCTCAGCTTGCAGCTGGCCAAAGTGTGCAACTCAGTTACATGAGTACAGGTGGAGAGGATTTAATGGAAAGACACATAAGAAGAGAGGGTCCACAGTGCCAAGCTGCAACTGAGGAATGGGTGTCTTAACATAGGACCTTTGGGCACATGATGGTTCAGGTTGACACCTTCCCTGGCAGCTCAGCAGCAAGCAGGGTTCTGGTATGCCTACTGCTGAGTTCAGACATGGCCCATCAGTGGACTATGTCTGATTTGCTGTCTCTTGTGCTTGGGTCAGAAAAGAGTAGAGAAATACCTGTGCTGCTCTGTGAATATGTGAAGAAGAAGTGTGTGTGTGTGAAGGGGTGCATGTGGAGGGGAACACACAAGTCAAATGAAGAAGACTCATACGGTATATAAAACAAGACAGGACAGAGTCAGGACAAACCACATGTTGCGCAGATCTTCCGGTCTTCTTACACCTTCCCAAAGAAGGGAGATACCAAAGCTGCAGAGCCACTGCAGCCCTACAAAACAGAGCTGTGTGCAGCACGTTATTTATTACTCTTGTGGTTTGCAACCAAAGGTTACTGGTTTAAGATCACATCCTATCCTCAAGTTAATCTTTCTGGCATTTTTGTTGACAAAATTTCCCTCTATTTTCCCATTAAATGTCTCAATACTGAGAACTCATGTTCTTAACTCAAATGATCTAGTAATATATAATCTGTTTATCAATTGCAAAAGAAAGCTATAACTGAAGAGACAGAAGGAGGCAGTCCTCAGCAGCTTGCCACCAAACCTTGGTTCTGCATAAAATACCATGCAAAATGACAATTACTACTGCACCAGATGAAGACAAAGACGGCTTTCCTTAAACAGAACGCATTATTTCAGCAATGTAATGCAGCACCAGAGGATTGTAATCAATAGTACAAGGTCCGGTCGGAAGCCAGTTAATTGTGTTGTAACCCAGGGCCAGTACTAGGGCCAATGCTGTTTAAGATCTTCATTAAGGAGGACAATGGGGAAAGTGCACCCTCAGCAAGTACACAGATTATAGAAAGCAGTGGCTGAAACACTGTAGGGCTGTGGTGCCATTCAAAGGGAGCAGGAAAGGCTGAAGTTTTCCTCATAGAAGCTTTGATCAACACATTGAATGAAAAAACAGTAAAAAGGGCTGTTCCAGGTGCAAGAAGAGTTTCTTTGACTTTGCTTATCACACCTACAAACTGACCTTCCAAAAGACAGCAACAAACAAATATAAACACAGTCACCCGAGCTCTTAGAAGCCTATCAACTTCAACATGTTCTGTGTACTTCTCACTTGGGCCAAAATGTGAGAAAAAAAGTAATACTTTTTATGTTTAACCATGCTGCCTACGTCCTAAATTAAAGTTATTCATATCTCATCATAACGAGAACAAGGTAAGTGCCATCTCTGGATTCCTCGCTTTACCTGGCTGTTTTACGCATCTATCTAATGGTACCCAAGAGGACAGAAAGTCTCTCTTAGGCATGATGCATGCCTACTTCCAAGACCTAGATTATGGGCAAATGTTCTGTTGACTTAAAAATAACCAGTAAGAGGCTTTTATTTTATGATGATCTTGAGATACAGCATTCACTAAAAAACTGCTCCGTTTCACTGGCATTTGTTCAAGACTTATTTGCAGTTTGAGTAATACAGATCAGAAAGTCCATGAACACAAGCCAGCTTATACACAGGTGACTTAAATCGTTCCACTCACTACAGAAATTAAACGAAAACCACACAGGCTTCCACAGAGAGCAAATATTTATGCATAAAACTAAACAGGCAGCAAACATAGATAAAACTTTAAGTTCTTTCCTGAGTATTATCACTTCTCACAAAGAGGCAAGGCTACATCCCATCAGAGACCTCCTTCATGAAAACATGTAATTATATGCCATATGTAAAATTACCATATGCTACTCCTGTAAAATATCAATTAAAATTGTAATTAAATTGTGAAAAATATCAAGGCAATAATTTGTGAGGAAATACTAGAAACTTCCACTGCCAGTGCTCAATATTGGTCTCCTCTGGCTCGGTAAGCACTGCATGCTTTCACCTGATGACCATTCTCACTCTGCCACTTCAACTTAAAGTTTCACCTGGAATTGTACAAATTCGGTAGTCTGAAATGATGAAAATTTGCTTCTACAGGAATCTGCATTTCACAGATCAGACAGAACAACTCTCACATCTAACTTTATTTTCTCATAATCCTATGAGAGTTTTTGTCAAGATGTTGGTTAAAGGTCAAGGAAAAAATACATATTTTCTTCGCTTTTTTAAAAGGATGTTTCTACACTACACTTACTGCCTTCCTCTGATGGGTACAAGTTAAAATGTTGTTCCTTTCTACCAGTTTATAGTTCCTAAAACAGTGAGGGAAAAAAAAAAAAAAAAAACCTACTGGTTGCAATTTATATGAAATGGCAGTGATGAGGGACTATCTCTTAGTTCTTCAGAATGTAAAATGGAGAAGTTCAAAGCTCAAATAAATAAGAAGGCCTGATGTAAAAAGTTTATAAAATACGGAGAAGATTTCTCAATTATCACTGAAAGAACAGCAGCAGGATCCTTATGATCTCCTAAATTTCACAAGCAATTTATTTATAACTGTTTCAGACAACAAAGACCTGATGTACTTTTGTGAAACAGGTTAATATCAATGGACTTCAGGCAAGATTTCTCCACCATATGTGAAGAATAGTCTGTGTGTAGCAATAGTAGGAAATGTTTGGACTTACATAGTATCCCACGGACATGGAAGGAGAGAAATATACACACAAAACACTACATAATAGTTAAAAATTCTTCTCTATTTTAGAAGAATTTCTGAATTTGAGATGGCTGTTCTATTTGGCTGG